ATGAAGAAGGATGCAGATTTTTCTTCAGCACATCATTCTGAAAAAATTAAACCATAAAACAGCAATGGATCTAGGCTTTCCAAAAATCAGATTTGAAAAGCTCAATAATATCACGAGTCGGTAGATTACTGTAATCATAAAGCAAACGATTTAACTTTTTATACTGAATTATTTTTTTTTATAACTCTTCACCTGCTAATTGTGGGCAATTGTAACCTTGTTTGAAAAGCTCACCTTTAAAACCAATCAAAACTGGTACTATCGTTGCCGGAAGTTTAAGTGCTTAAATCATTTATATTTCACGAAAAATTTAGAGCCAAATGAAGGCAGATATCACATTTAAAGATTCTATTGTTTCAAGGAAAATAGATTACTCTCAAAAATTTCATGGAGACAAAAAGCTAACATAATGAACACTTTTACCCAGGAAACGAAAAAATATATATACACAGATTTATAAAAAATCAGATTTAAAAAGCTCAATTATATCACAAAACTATAACTTCACAACTGTATGAAGATCAAAAACGAATCCTAGTTTTCATCAGGTCAAAAAAAATCAACAAAAAATATTCACCCAGAAAATGAAGAAGACAATTATAAAACATCAGATTCAAAAATCTCAATTGTGCCACGAATCGCTGTTTTCGTGTCATCATAATCAGAAAAAAAATTTTTAAAAAAACGACTATAAGATAGATGACCAGCGAAACATTGGCAGTTAAAAACAATTTTAAAACACTTTTTTTCATAACAAATCAAAAACCTAATTAAAAAAAAATTGTTGCTCAACTTATTTAGTTTTTAATAGAATTAAAAACATCAGATTTGACAAGCTCAATTTCATCACGACTCGGTTTTTAATTTTCATCATTATCACTCATTTTGATTTTTTTTTCAGAACCAGAATTGAAAATATTATAACTTTAGAAAAACTTCTATTCAAATGGTGACCAGCTGACTGTCAAAAGTTATAAGATTTGAAAAGAAATTGTTCTTAAAACAAAGATCAGAGCAAAAGGTAACTCATTAAACAGCGTTGGATTTAGGTCATCATTATCAGCGAGAGTAAGGACTCCAATGAAATTGGTGAAGTCAGAAATGAAGAAGGATGCAGATTTTTCTTCAGCACATCATTCTGAGAAAAATTAAACCATAAAACAGCAATGGATCTAGGCTTTCCAAAAATCAGATTTGAAAAGCTCAATAATATCACGAGTCGGTAGATTACTGTAATCATAAACCAAACGATTTAACTTTTTATACTGAATAATTATTTTTTGAAAACTCCTGACCTACTAATTGTGGGCAATTGTAACCTTGTTTGAAAAGCTCACCTTTAAAACCAATCAAAACGGGTACTATCGTTGTAGGAAGTTTGCGTGCTCAAATCATTTATATTTCACAAAAAAATTTAAAACCAAATGAAGGCAGATATCACATTTAAAGATTCAATTGTTTCAAGGAAAATAGAGTACTCGCAAAAATTTCATGGAGACAAAAACTAACATAATGAACACTTTTACCCAGGAAACGAAAAAATATATATATATAGATTTATAAAAAATCAGATTTAAAAAGCTCAATTATATCACAATCAGATGTCAACAATCAGAAAAAAAATTAAAAATTAAGAGAAACGTGTACTTAAATGATCATCAGCGACCTGTTAGCAGTTAATGTCAGCTTTGAAGAGTCCAACTTAATCGCAAATCGAAAAGCTATAATGTCAGCATTCTCAGAGGGATTGGTGCTCGAATTAATTATACTTCAACAATTCAAAACTTAACGTGCGCAGATATCAGATTTAGAAAACTCAACTGCATGAAGATCAAAAACGAATCCTTATTTTCATCAGGTCAAAAAAAATCAACAAAAATATTCACCCAGAAAATGAAGGAGACAATTATAAAACACCAGATTCAAAAATCTCAATTGTACCACGAATCGCTGTTTTCGTGTCATCATAATCAGAAAAAAAAGGAAATTAAAAAAAAAACGACTATAAGATAGATGACCAGCGAAACATTGGCAGTTAATAACAAATTTAAAACACTCTTTTTCATCACAAATCAAAACCTAATTTTAAAAAAAATTGGTGCTTAACTTATTTAGTTTTTAACAGAAATATAAAGCGAAACAAGAGTAGTTATCAGATTTAAAAAGCTCAATTGTATTTAAAATTATAAAGAACTCTCATCATTTCATCAGGACACAGACTAAATTTCACAATCTTTGATCCAAGAAAAAGAACAGTTACAAAACATCAGACCTGCACCTCAAGTAAATCAGGAGTCGATAAGTTTTGGCCTTTAAACGAAAACTTTAACTTCAAAACTCGACGAATGCTCTATATAAATGATTACCTGTGAATTGTAAGCAGTTATTATCAAATTTTGAAAAGCTTATGACGCAGAGTTTATAATGAACCAAAACTAGTGTCATCATTCTCACAAAAAAAACAATCAAATTAATTTTCTTTCATTATAAAATTTAAAGCCTAACAAAAGCAGATATCCGATTTAAAAAGCACATTTTAACCACAAATCATAAACAACTCATCATTTCATCAGGAAAAAGATGTCACTTAACAACCACTTTCAACCAGAAAAAATAAACTTATAAAACATCAAAGTCAAAAATCTCAATTATATCACGAGTCATCAATTTATTGTCATCACAATAAGAAATAAATGTCAGAACTTAAGAAATGAGTCTTTTTCAATTAATGAGCAGCGAAAAATTACCAGATTTTGTCAAATTTTTCAAGCTCAATTTTATCACAAATCAAAAATTAGTGTCATCATTCTCATAAAATGGGCGCACAATTACGACTATCTGAAACAAAATAATTCCCGCAGGAGTCTTTTATTCAAATTCCATCTATAACTGGACTGCATATGACACTCAATTTAATGCCAAAAGATCTTGATTCGGCCTTTTAGTTTTTTCTGAAGGCTATTCATCTTATTTCTTAAATATCAACTTATTTCGGTAATTGAACATCAATTCCACTAAAACTGGAAAAACATTTCCTTCCCTTTTTCTGACGATACGAGAACCCTACAAAATCTCGCATACAAAAATCATCGAAAAAGGGAAACAATTTTACACATTCAGATCGACAGTTTTCAACTTCTTATGAAGATATCAAAAAATCTGCATCAGAGCACATAGCTACTGAACTTAAGCCTCCCATTATGAAGGTACACGATTTGTTATGGCGGACCTGTACGTGTAAAGATCAAGGTCCAGTTCCAAATATAGTTTCAATAATGCCGGTAACTTGATCAGACTCCTAAAAATATATACAAATGATATGCGTGATTCCAGTACCCTGTCGAGGACTAATCTCCAGGTGCATTTGCCACCTACAAGAACTAGTCTTGAAGGCGATAGGCGTGCCGACATTAAAAAAAAAAGATTTTTGGTTTGAGCATTATAACAGTCATCATCAACATCAATTGAATGACTTTCACATCCTTCATGCTCAAAGTTCAAGAGTTTTTTTAATCTACATTAACCACGGCAAAGACTTTCCTGCTCTTAAGTCAGCTGGTACCTTATAAAACCAGCTAAAGTGCATCTAACAGGTGCTAAATTAGCCAAATTATAGGGGAAAAGTTGGCTGCAGTGCTGAAAAAGACGCCTGTGCACGCCCCTGCGTCAATTGGAATCAACTGTGTCATAAAATGATACAAATCCTCGTTTGAGCGAACTTTTGAGACCAAGCCCGTTGAGCTGTGAGCATTGGAGTACTATTGCTACATGTTTTTATTTCATTCAAAGCATCTCACATCTCAGCAGCTCATTTGAACAAAATCGAGCTGAGAAGGAGAGTAATTTACTTGCTTAGCATGTGGAGAACAGCAGAATGACAGAAATAGAGCAAGAGGAGGAATTCTAGACTAGTTCTTTTTTACTCAGCTGAGGAGAGAGAGAGGGGAAATAAATAAAGGAAGGGTATTAGCGCAATCTGCAGCAGTCGCTGTATAACGTATGCAAAGTACAATGCAAGCCAATCGAAGCACAGCATTATCAACTGGGAAGCAGAGAGCATAGCAAATGGAGGCGAAGGAACTGAGCTGAACTACTCTCTTGCTATACTACTGGAGACAAGAACGAAAGAAATTAGAACGAAATATAGGAGAGAAAGAGAAATGGGGGAATAAAGAACCGAAAGACATAGGCAGGAGAGAGCACTAAAACAGCACAACATAGGCGAAATGCAATACTACAAACTACTTCATTCCTCCAGGTCCTCTAACATACAGAGTGCCGTTCTGTTCTGTTCTCCTCGCTGTAGTCTTAGCATGAAGTGAAGGTTAGCTTGGAGCTAGGAAGCGGGAGGAAAGAAAGTAGGAAAGGAGAAAGGAGATAGATCGACGTTAACGATTGCTTTTTGATTCGAAACCAACAATTCGCCCACCAGATACACATGAGAAACTCATTTCTATGTACGTTACCCCTGAACAGTAATCTCATTTATGTTTTCTCCCACCAAGCATGATATTTGAAATTGCAAAGATGGGCGGAGGGGAAGGGGACCATGAAGCACTTCATGTCACTTCTGCACATTCATTCTGTCATTATAAGGAAATAGCGTGACTAAGATGTAATTTCTGTATATTTGAAATTTATTTGAGAAAAATGAGAAAACTTGACCGATTTCAGTTCACAACACGACGCGAAACATGAAAAAGTGCATATACATTTCGAGATCAAGCTAAAACTTTGTTATGAAACTCGGCTCAACATTGACTGGTAGGTCTTGTTTACAATTGGTGCAATCTTTGAGTTATCAGTGGTCGCAAATGAGCAATGATTATGTAAATTAACTTGAGAAGATTTCTTTAAGCTAAGAGAACAAACGCATCGGTATAAATGGCAAAAGCACGCATTACTCATATACCATTTTTAGTAGTTTTCAGGTTATTTTTTGAAATATGATAGTATTCAAATAAAGTAATCAGAACTTAAGCATGCAAAAATAAACTCACTCTCGATTTCGGATGCGGGTATGCCTTGACATCCAGCTTGAATTTCTACTTCAACTCTGATCTGAAATCATAAAAACAGATCAACAATCGTAGGACTTCATTATTCATGCAAACACCGACGCATTACGCACGTATTGTGGTTGAATAAAAATCATATTAAATATTTTAAGCTCAGCCGCCGACGCACATGACCGATTTCATTTGCACAGCTTAGTAAAATAATTAAGAACTACGTAACAGCAGTCAGCACAATGCATTGTTAAATTCATATTTCTTCTATCCGACAGACATCTGTACTTCCCCCCTTAAAAATTCAGGAGGAAAATCGGTCACTGACATTGATTCCCAGACGTTCGTTCCGGGCCGTCCGGCTTAACCCCGTGTGATTGCCATTATTTTTATTAGTCCAAAAAACATGACTGAAATTACTGCTACACATTAATTTAAAGGAATGGAACATGGGTTGAGTTGATGTATATTGCTTTGCTTGATAAATCAGAAGAAAACCCGATGAAAATTAGAATTATGAACCTAAAAGCACATCGCTTCTGCTGTTTTTCTGCCAGTTTTTTTTCACAAGTTGGAGTTTTCCTTGCTGTCTTTCGATTTGACCGCTCGTTTAATCACTCCCTAGCGACGAAAATCAAAAATTAATGGGTAAAAATTAATTACTATAAAATTTGAACAACATCTAAACGAAACTATCAAAATATGTTGGCATATGCAATGATATAAAATTCGATGGAAAAATATTTAACTCGTGAGCTCAACTCGAATAAAAATACTACAAAGAAGGCTGAAGATTTTAATATTTCAACGTCTGTAGCAAACTGAAACGAAAAGCAAGTAAGGTTGATAGGATGATACAATTTACATCAGAGCTGAGCTTAACCAAAATAATGTACAAAGAGCTGTGAGTTCGCGTCAAACTGAATCTGGCCAAGTTCGGGATAGCGTATGTGGGGTACAGTCTCCGATAACAGCAGAGGGGGAGGAGCAACAGCAGCCGCCGAACTAGGAATCAAGGGTCTGAACAGGTTGACACCGCGAACAGCGTTGGCCCATAGTTGAGATGGCGATGCCACTGAAACCGGGGGAGGCATTAGGGTCGTAGCGTTGAGTAGATTCACGGATGGCAGGTTCACTTGGTTTGCGTTTCTAGGGTTAAGACATATCCGATTGTTCGTCCCATTAGCGAACTGGGAAGGAGGTACGTAAGTATTGGCTGTGTTGGAAATATTGTGAGTAGACTGTCTTTGTTGGGGAAAGGAGTTCAGAGGACCAGCAGCACCCTGTGAAAGAAGCGGATTTGGCAGAAGATTGAGGAGATGAGCAGAAGCGAAGCTATTGGAAACTTGCTGATGGAATTCATTCTGAGTTTGTCCTGTAAAGATATTCGGGGCAGTGTAAGTTATATTTAGCATGTTGTACGGATCGTTGCTTTGCATCGACAGTCTAGGCGTAGCAGCAGCACTATGAGTAGGATTATTCATGTTCCAAGCAGGATTCGGGAAATGACCCAGATTATTGCCAAAAGCGTTCAAATCGTTTGGGTTTACACCGAAACGAAATATGTTCACATTATTTATGAAAGTACCATACTGATTAGCATTAAACGCTTGAACATGTCGGTAATTATTGCGACTCTGAAATCTTCCTCTGAACTGTCCGCGCCTAGAACTGTGCGTTTGATGATGCACGTGGCTTCTTTGCTGAGGATCTCTGTAAGTACTTGATGAGGTGGGATGTTGGGAAGATTGTTGAGGATTGCTACTACTTTCTTGCACCACAGACAATTTACTCACAGCGATTATTTTCTTGAACTCGTCTACGCTCATTCCATCTGATACCGTAGGCAACTTGCGTGTCTTATTTGCAGCCTCTTCTTCAGGATTGAAGCCAAGTTCATCTTTCATAGTTTCAGACAAATTAGCAGCCAGCATAATAATTTCTTTTTCAGCTTTCTCATTCTGATGGAAGACAGATGGCTCTTGCCTACAAAGAGGGCACGAAATTTGTCTTGTCAACCAGTCACTAATGCAGCCTTTACAGAATGTATGCTTGCAAGGCGAGAGCGCAAATGGCGCTTGAAAAACAAAAGAACATATACTACATTGCAATTCCTCAACTTTTGCCATCATATCGATTCGCTCTTTCTCAGAGTTGTCAATTTTTTTCTGTGTCTTCTTGCTAAAAGATTTGGAAGGCATACTGCATAATGATTCGAACCGAATTTCGACATCGCTCGCTTTCGCCTTACTTCTAGTTATTGGTGCCATTGATAGATAACTGAAACAAATAGTAATTAGCTCATTGCAGAAAACAAATTGATCAAAATAGAAGCGAGGCACAGAGTCGCAGCGGAATCCTCATCGCTAGAGCTATAGAGAAAACTTCATCACGAAAAATTGATAGAAGTTTCGAAAAACAGGCGATATTGAGCTTCACGCTACTTGTAATTTCAAACTTAAAGAAACTGTTTTTTTTTTAAAAAATACAAGTTTGCACTTCAACTGATTACTGAAAACATATTTCATGTGAAACCATTTTTTTAACGCAAAGGTAACATCTGATAAGATCAAGTCAAAAACATCATCTTTTTAAAATTCTAGAAGAAGGTTCAAAAGTTCAAATCAAAATAGTTGCATAAATAATATTAGTAAATTGAAAACTAAAACAACTGATTGAAATTCGATAAAACTATCGAGTAACGCACCTCCGGTGCTTCGAATTTTTTCGACATATCATGAAAAACTGCATATATTGGACACAAGATCTGCAACCTTTAAGCACTTGAGCAGTCGCATTCGAGAAGTCGCATTTGGCGAAATTTGTAACTCCTGAGAATACCCTGACAGCACTCAGCGTCAAAGTTAGGAATTTCAAATTTTGAAAAAAAAATAAATTTAAGTTTTCCGAAAATTTTTTGAAAAATCACAAAAAAACGTCATATCTCGCAAACTACAAGGATTTGAACAGTCATATTTAGAGGCAAGATTTTCAATCTCTGAGATACTCTGACAGCAGCCAGCTCCGGTGCTTCGAACTTTCAAATTTTAAAAAACCGCAGTTATTGGAAAAAAAAAGATTTGCATCCTTTGAGTGTACTCTGACAGCACCCAATTACAGGAATGGTAACTTCAAATTTAGTAAAAACTTTTTATTCAAGTTGTTTTTATTTAAATTTAAAAAACCATAAAATTTGTGAAGTCTTTTGAAACACTTTAAAATGACTTCAAAAAAGTCACATCTCGGAAATTAAAAGCAATTGAGCAGTAGAATCGGAATTTCAAGGCTGGGAAAGTTAAATCTTAAGAATTTTTTTAAAATCTACGTTTCTGCAAAATTAAAAAGAATTCATTAAACACGTCATATCTTGAAAATACAGGTATTTGAGCAGTCAGTTTTGGAGACAAGAATTGCAATCATTGAGAGTACTCTCACAGTACCTAACTACAGCGCGTTTGGACAACTACAGCGCGTTTTACAACTTCCGAACTTGAACTTTCTAAAAAAATTTTGAAAAAACCAGGAAGAACTTCATATCTCAAAAACCCAAAGATTTGAGCAGTCATAGTAGGAGGCAAGATTCGCAGCCTCTGAGAGTACTCTGACAGCTCCCAACTACATGGTTAGGAATTTCATTCTTTAAAAAAATTAAAATTAAGTTTTCTGTAAAATGTTTGAAAAAATCACAAAAAACGTCATATCTGGAAAACTACAAAAATTCGCAACCCCTGAGAGTACTCTGACAGCCCTCACTATAAAAATGGGCATTACAAAATTTAAAGAAAAAAATTGGATTTATGTTTTCTTGGAATCTTTTTGAAAAAATCACAAAAAACGTCATATCTCGAAAACAACAAGGATTTGAGCAATCAAATTCAGAGGCAAGATTTTCAACTCCTGAAGGTATCATCAGAGTTTCCAACTACAGAATGAAAATCTTCAAAATTTTTGAACATTTTTAAATGTAAGTTCTTTGAAAATTTTTGAAAAACCATAAAAAAACGCCATATCTCGAAAAAAAAAAAAAAGATTTGAGAAGTGAGATTTGGAGGCAAGTTTCGCAATGCCAGAGAGTACCCTGATAGCACCCAACTACAAAATGAGAATTTCAAATTTAGTGAAATTTTTTAAATTCAAGTTTTCTAGATATTTTTTAATCAAAATTGCCGTTTCTCATAAACTAAAAGGATTTTGTTATTCTAGAGACATCATTGATGTTGGATTAATTTGCTGCAAAAAAACTCTGCGAAACTTAGTTCACATATTATTTTTTTCATATATGTAACAAGATAAAATGAGGGTAATAAACGATTGTCCCAAAAAATGCTGCAAAACTTAGTTCACATATTATTTTTTTCATATATGTAACAAGAGAAAATGAGGTTGATAAACGATCGTCCGTTTGTAAAAAGGGCAAAAGATTTTCAGATTTTTAAAAATGAAAAAAAAAGCACACACGAGACTATCTTTTTCGACGGTACAAAGTGCAGCAAAATTTGTTTACACAAAAGGCAAAAAAAATTCTAAAATTTACTTATGAAATCAATAAAAAAAAACTGGGTCTAACAAACAACTTTTGACCAATTGGTTACACCAGTTGTTAAGCAATTGATTATATTGGACATCACTGAAACGGGCTTAAAAACAAGCAACAATAAAGAAGTTTTGTAAAGAAGTTGCCGTGGAAGTTTTTCTCGTTTAGAAATACTTATCCAAAATGAAACCGAAATTACGACTGCAATAGATCTAAAAAGCTACTGCCATCTAGGCGCTACGAAATACTTTTAAATAACCATCGATCGCCAGGCCATTCTTCTTACGCTATGCTGCTGACCATGTTTCGCTTGTAAAGCCTAGAAAAAGTTTCTAGAGCAAGCTCATCAAATTTCTTGCCTCTACCGTAAACCAGGGAAAGTCAAAAATCAATGGGACAACAAAAAGTTGAATTGCAATTAATTAGAGTGTTTAAACCAATTATCAATTAACTGGAAGACCCTGAGACTAAATTTCGATTTTTTTAAAAAAATTTTTATCAAGGTAATCCGAAGGTCAAA